TTTTCTCACTGGCCCACCAGTTGGCAACTGCTGGCTTGGCCAATGAACTGTCAGAAAGCTTTTGAAACTCTAAAACGCCTTTTTGCAGCTGAACCCATTCTTCAACACCCAGACCTGACCAAACCTTTTATAGTCCAAGCTGATGCTACTGATGTGGCAGTACCGGCTGTTCTGTTACAAAAGGACTCTCAGAACCGACTGATGCCTTGTGCTTATGTGTCCAAAAAGCTAACGGACACAGAGCGAAGATAGGTGGTCTGAAAGAAAGAAGCATTTGCAGTAAGATGGGCTTTATTGACTTGGAGGAAATTCCTAGAAGGAGTGAAGGAGCCGTTTGAGGTATGGACTGATCACAAAAACCTTGAAGTGCTAAAGACACCTCGGAAACTATCCCCTAAACAAGCCCGCTGGGCTCAATATTTCAAACGATTCAACTTCAACCTGAAATATATCCCTGGAGGGAAAAACATATTGGCAGATGCCCTGTCCAGGAAACCCCAGTTTGACAGTCACCGAGAGGAAATAGTAGTCTTTGATCTCAGAACCTCAATCGGCAGGCCAAGTAACCACTCGAGGCCAAGCCAACCACAACCCCAAATACCTGGAAGACAAATTTACCACAGAATTGAAAGCAGCCCTATTGATCAATCCCTGGTTTGTGGAACATCAACCAGAATTAACCATCAGTGAACCATCAGAGGCTTGGAAAGGGACTAAACTTTATGTACCCGCAACCCTAAGACTAATGGTACTAAAACGTTGACACAACTGATGGCTGGGGGGACATTTCAGGTTCTTAAAAACCCTACATTTAGTAGAAGACAGTTCTGGTGGCCAAAAATGAAACCTGACATTGAGGACTATGTAAAAAGTTGCTCAATTTGTGCCACGATGAAACACAGAATTGGAAAAAAACCTCCTCCAACAAGTAGCTGAACCAACACAGCCATGGGAAGAAATTGCAATGGACTTTATCGTAGAATTACCTAAGAGTGGAGGGAATACAATCATTTGGACTGTTATTGACTTATTCTCTAAGCAGGCCCACTTTACAGCCTGTAAAGGACTTCCATCTGCAAAAAAGCTTGCAAAACATATTTACAGACTACATGGAGTACCTCATAGAATAATATCAGACAGAGGAGTACATTTTACCACTAAATTTTGGAGGGAGTTTTTAAAATCCATTGGGTCATCCCAAGGGTTATCCTCAGCATTCCATCCAGCCTGCAACGGAGCAGCAGAAAGAATGAACGCCATGGTGGAACAATACATTAGATGTTATGTAAATTATCAACAGGGAAACTGGGCTGAATTATTACCATATGCAGAGATTGCTTATAATAATGCAGTACATAGCAGCACAGGGTTGACTCTATTTCAAATCAACACTGGCATGGAATTTGTCCTGATGCCAGAATTACCTAGAGAACCTCCTACATCCATGTCTATAACAGAATGGATGAACTCATTGAAAAAAGGTTGGGAGAACACGAAAAAGGCTTTGACTGAAGCCGTAAAATATTACAAAAAGCAAGTAGACAAACATAGAACCCTCCAACCACCATTTAAAGTAGGAGACAAAGTTTATTTGTCAACCAAATATCTTAGATTAAAACTTCCTAGTAAAATAATAATCAATCCGGTCATGCCTGTCAGCTTTGGAATCCCTATTAAAAGCTGCCACACAGCTACGGAGGATGGAAGGGGGGTTGTTGTTATTTGAGTAATTTTCAGTAGACATAATAGATACATAAGACTGTCAAGGTCATTCTCTATGGTGCAGTAAGAATTGAAGTTGAAGGGTGATTAGTTCACGTGATTTACGATGTGGGAGAAAAGGGGTGGGTGTTGATTGAGTATTGTGGGAAGTCTACGAGGAAACTTTAGTTTCGGAATCTCACAGACGTGCCAAGTTTCTGTTTTAATAAAGCACTTTGAGAATATGTTTGTCTCGGAGTTACTGATTGAAATGGACAATTTCTGGAATCCTGACACATGACTTACAACTGGGTTGGCACGCCTTCTTATGGTATGGGAAAAATAGGATACATGGGTACTTTCAAAGATATTATATAAGAAACGCTTTATTGTTAGTATGGGAGAAAGTCAGAGAACAGCATTATTTGAAAATATCAATTTGGTTTTCGACAGTGGAAGCACTTATTCATCCAAATATTTTTAATCTGGGAAACTTTGTTAGATATAAAGATATTTTGAATGAAAAGGGTGAGCTCAAAACTAAACAAGAATTGGGTGAGCTAGGAATTGACATGGTTTGGTATTTATATGTGCAAATACAATCTAGATATGAAAAAGATGTTAAATTATATAGATTTTACAATGATCAGACAGAATTGGATAAGATATTAGCAGGAATAGAAGAAAGATTGATAAAAAAGTTTTATAGTTATCTGTTGGGTATTAAATTGGAAGAGGAACAATAAAAGAGACAATGATAGCATGGGCAAAGAATTTTGGCTATACAATAGAACTAGATAAATGGCAGAAACTATGGGATAGGAATTATAAATTAACAATGTCACCCGCATATAAAGAAAATTTGTTTTATAAATAGCATTTTGCACCAGCGAGGTTGGCAAGGAAGTTTAAAGATAAATCAGCCAATGTTGAAAGTGCCACCAGACACCTGGCTTGTATTATCATATGTGGTGGACATGTGTAGAAGCCAAAAAATATTGGACTAAAATACACATGTGGTTGGAAAAAATGATACAGAAGCATATTGATCTAAAACCTGAAATATTCCTATTGGGGATCTTACCTAAAAACTTATACTTAAAAGAGAATATATACTTAATTATTCATATATACATCTAGAATTGTATTTGCTCAAAGCTGGAAAAGTGAAGAAATTCCCACTGAGGAAAAGATGATTAGGAAAAAATGATTAGGAAAATATTAGAATGTGCAGAAATGAACAGATCAACACTTGCAATTAAAGAGAAGAAGCAATTTGAATATTATAAGATATGGGAACTATTTTATCGATGGTTAGAGAAAAAATATGAAAGCTAGAAATATCTAATAGACCAGTGAAATAAAGAAAATATCTTAATAGAATTAAATATGATAAGAGGGTTGTTATAATGATAGACATATTATGTATACTAATAAGTAAAGATCTAAACATGTTATTATTATAGTGTAAGAGATATCATATATATTAATAATAAGATAACAATGGAGAACTAATACTAATGTAATGAATATGGTAGTAATTTTGATTATTGTTGCACAAGATATTTGTACCCAGACGACACACTGTTAAATGGAAGATGAATTGTTTGTACTTATAAAATAAAATAAAATTAAAAAAAATAAAAGAAAAATTAAAAAAAGATTCTTGAGTATTCAAAATGGAAAAAGAAGCAGGGACATCTATGTGTCACATTCTCTTCCCACCTGATGCAAATGCCCATTTATTATTTCAATTTATTTTAAATGAATTCTTGCCGATCAGCAAATTCCAAACAATGCCAGCTTCACTCTAGAATAGAAAGTTATTTCTACAAGTTAAATTAATATTTTAATTTTCTGAGGGAGGGAACAATTAACTTTATCTGTTGTGACAAATGCCATGCAGAACTTTGTTTCAACAGTAACATTTATTGTAGCACAAGCTTTTATTATTTATAAATTCATATTTATAGGGATATGTAAATATTTCTTAAATTAAGGAATAAGTTAAAGCTATGATACTCCCTTTCACAATCATGAGGGAGACCTATCTGTTTATGACAATAGATACAATGATACAGCCATGAGAGGTAAACCTTGACATAGACTGAGAAGCTAACTTTGTCCCAGTATCTACTTTGACACCAGAAGACTTAATGTTATTAATTATAGCAAGAATTCACAAATCTGATCATTGTCCACTTCAATGTAGTCATCACTGTCACCACTAATAGCTCACCAAACTCTAGGGAGGACAACTGATATGGAACATATAGGAAATAAGTACAATTTTAATTTCCCCCAAATAACTGCAGAATGCTCCAGCTTTCATGCATATTTTGTAGCTGACTTCAAGATGACCAAGATTTAATGAGAAAATAACAATTTATTTTATGATAAAATAGTTGAGATGAAATTTCCATGGATTAACAGAGGCAAAGATGATCAAACTTAATGAATTCTTTATCTTAATGGTGGAAAAACATCTGCCACACCAAAATGTATATATATTCTATTGAAAAGCACATTAACACTGAATATAATGGCAATATTTCATTTCCCTGTAACCTTTTATTTTTTAATCACTTCCCCACGAATAGGCAGGCTATAATTCAGAAAAAAATGCTCTAATAAAAGGAATTAGATATTAAGATGTACAAAACTTTCAATTTCTCATATATCAGTGACTAATCTCTGTCTTGTCTAGTATCAAGAATATGCCAAATGATATATCTTGAAGATTTAAGTTCCTTCGATATAAATTACTTGTCTGCTTGTTCTTCTTGCTGGCCTTTAGCCATAATAATGTTTTGATCTGATCTGATGTATGGTTGGCTTCATTTATCTACTGGAAATCAATGACTTTATTATTTGTGGTGATAATCTATTTCCTTGTTAACTGACAGCAATTTATGGATTATGATTTTATACAATGATAACTACACAAAGATTTAAAATGAGAAACTTGATTGGAACGTTAACATTTATATACAAACATATTTCCTTAAATGATTTCATTTTGACATTCATTAAAGCTATCTGATTTCTGTATTTGTTTTATGAAACCTGTCAACAATAAATGCATTTAGATTCTAGACAACATAACATTTTGACTTATCACGGGAAATAAACCAAGTATATTTAATGATGCCTTTCCCTTCCTTAACCAGAGGAAAAATCATTTTCATAAAACAAAAGCTACTGAAATAAAGTCCAAATTAAATATACACATTACACAAATTCCACTTCTATCTAGGATTAAATGGTCACATGCAGGTGGGAAGTAAGTAGCATATCACCTTGGTCAGCAAATGAGAAGGCTTTCCTGCAATGTTTCTCAGAAGGAGGGAGGTTTCCCTGTCCAAATAGGAGTGCTTGTGCAGAAAAGAAAAGAAAAGAAATTAAGTCACAAGAAAGCCAGTGCAGTCATTTTATAGTGCATGATCAGTAATAATAGATAAGAGAGTAACTTCTCTTCCTCATCTGAAGCACAAATAGTGCTTTAGGTATATTTCAAGCCATGTTTTAAAAACATCTGCAAATTCCTTTCCACCACAATTTTGAAATTTTCTACAAACTATTCCTTAATAATTTTATAGAAATATTCTAGAACTTATGTCTATGCCAACATACAATTTTAGCCAGAATTTCACCCACATAATGAAAAAAGGTATTTCAACCATTTAAAAACAATATAATTTAATAACTATAGCCTTGTTCAGGAATTTATTTTCCAGAATGCTCAGCTTTAACCTATTCCCACTGCCATTGCAACTGTTTTCTATTTCTTCTACACTAGGGGAACTCAGTATATTCCATCTGTTATCATTTTTGTGGATAAACACTATTTACACTATTCTTGCAGGATGGAATGTAAACTCTTCTATTAGAAATTATTAAGACAAACCTTCTAAACAAAGGCTCCCAAGTGGTGTTTTGCTTTCTCAATGCAGCACTGGAAGTAGGCCTAAGAAGGGCTGAAATGGGGATATTTAACTTTTGGTTAAAACTGAATTTTTCCTCACAAAGCTAACTGACCGTTTCTATGTATTCCGGAAAGTAATGGTGGAGCAAACTGCTGCAGAGATTGCGTTCTTCCTAGATGTTGGTAGAAATGGGCAATGGCCAAACAATAGAGATACTAAAGCAGACACTTGAGAGATATAGCCATATGGCAGACATAGCCACAAATGAAGACTGAGGTAGAATTTTTGAAAGTACGGAAGTAAGTATCTGGTTTACTAATCTCCAGGTAGCACCATTATCTTAAGCAGCTTATTCTTCCAAGTCACTGCACTCTTACATTTTTTAACAAACTATCTTCAGCAATTCTTAAGGACAGATAAACACTCTTCTCAGAAAAACTGCCCATGTGGGAAATTGCAAGAGAAAACATCTTGTGAATATTTGTCTAATACCTCGTCTATAGAGATTATTCTGTCATCACTATAGCATTTTCAAGACAAAAATTTCCAGATGTTCTTGTTGACTTTTAGGTAAATTATCTACTTGGAGACAAAGATCCCAAAATAACAAGGCCAGTCTCATAGTTCTGTTAAGCAGTATAGCAAGTATAGCATCATTGAAAGGAGGAGCAGAAAGCGCACAAAGAAAGTGCATGCAGGGGTCTTCCTTTTGTATTATTGCATATTACTGTGTTTTATGTTACTTACTCTTTAAAATATTTGTTGTCATTATTCTTGTTACTACCATTTAAACCTACATTTTTTTCCTTAGGTAATATATTAGGCAATGAACTAAGTAAAACTACTGTGTTAAATAACCAGATTTAGCTGCAAAATTATGCATACCAAAACAATTGAGGGCAAACAAATATTTTAAGGGGAAGTGATAAAAACTCCAATAAAAGCAAAGTAACAATTATCACGTTTTTCTGGAAATATTGTTTAAAAGCATACTTAAGTAATTTGTTATGCTTTTGCCTGTGTTTACTTTAAGATTTTAACTAAGATCTTAATTTAAGATTTTAATTTAATTTAAAAATTCCTTCATCTTTTAATGTTTTGGATGATATTTAGTGGTTAAGACACCAGGCTAGAAAATTGTATGTATGTATGAATAAATAAATAAATACACTGCCCTATATATAGCATTGAAACACAGCTGATATGTTCTAAATGTCACTTTAATAACTGAAAATAAAAATTTTAAAGTGAAAAACGATTAAATACTTTAATATGCAGCTAGCTTACATCTGTAGTATGCTTAGTTACACATACACAATAAATAAGGGTACATCACTACCACATAAATATTATTTTAAACATTAAACTAGCCAATTTTAGATAACAAAAAAATCAGATAATTTTCTAGTCAGGAGATGGTATTAAATGTGCCTTGGATAGTTAATAAGCCCCTGACATAATTGCTTAATCTAATCCTACACTATAAAACATTCATAAGCCTCAGAATGAACAATCTATACTTGTTTCATATTGTGACAAAGTCAGATGCAACTTTTTGATATCACACTGAAGTGCCTATTTCGGAACTGGATCTTATTTTCACTGAAACTGAAAAGACCTCCCTCTCAAAACTACTATTTGAAGCACGTAAAGTTAAAGGAGTGCTAAAATCTTAGTAGCATTACAAAAGTAGCGTGTCCAGTTAAAAAACCCTTCCCATCTATCCCCCATGCAAAAATAACCCAGGACTCAGCATACTCAATTTTGTGATTGGCCCCGGGAATTGGTGCTGTCTTACCTTGAGGGATCGATCAATAAAGAAGGAATTTTCTTGGCCACACTACAGAATTCTTGTGCTATGGCTTTCTTCCAGGATGTGTTTTTTGATTCCCTGGTTGATTTTACAAGCCAAGCAATGTGTGGCTGCACACTATTGGGCAGAAATGCTGTTTGGGCTAAAAATGGCAATGCTGCTAAATTACAATCCAACACATGTCTTAAAGGACTGCCATATTTTACCATTTTATTTATCACCATCAGAATTTGCCAAGCAAGATTTCCATATTTTATAATTTAATCCTTTTGAGATGAACTGTACTGGAAAGATTGCACCTTCATTTATACAGGTTATGGATTTTAATTCAGTTACTGTAATTTTACTAAACCTAGCAGTTTAAGTGATTCAAAAGGATGGGAAGGGCAAATGTTACTGTACTGCTAAGCAAATTAAGAGTTTATAGCAGAAGTGGGAAGCACAAAGCCACATACTCCTACATAGCCCTCTGACCACAATTGACAACAAAATACAACAATTCACAACTGGGCAGGAAATAGTTAAAGTGTCATGCCCCTGGTGGAGTCTGACTCTGAGGAAGAGGAGGAACAGTGAACAGGGAGTGGGAGTGTGTCTCCAGAGGTGGTGGAGGAGGCTGGGGAAGGGCAGAGGCCGGCTGAGCAGTCAGAGGAGGATCCAGGCCTATCCCCTATACATCCTAGGTCATGCAAGGAGGAGAGGATCAGGGAAAAGCGAGGTCTACTCAAGAAGAGATTACCATGATCCTCCTCGTGGTTTGCAGGTGGGAGCTATGTATATAAGTTTGCAACTGTGCAGTTAGAATTGCTGAAGTCAATTAGTGTTCACCTTGAAAGAGGCTTATCTTTGTTGGTGTTCTTCCCATGGACTTTTCTCAGTTATTTGCCTGGAGTTTCTTAGTTATCTCGGCTTGCTTCAGAACTCTCATCAATGCGGTTTGTTTTGGTTTTCTGTTAGCCTCATTATTTACTTTTGTGACTTTAAACTGTGCCTAATAAAACAGTGAAATTAAGTTGAAGGCCTTACCGGACTTTAATATATGTTTTGGGTTTGGGGTTATTTTGAGAGACTACGGGTCATCACATAAAGCCTGTATGAAACCTATCTGAAATAAACAACCTTATTATTACTTTTTTTTTAAAAATGAACCCCCCCCCCCCCCCCCATTTTATCACCTATCAAACCAGGACCATGGAAGGTAACCGGAAAATCCTTGTATGGTGTGCTTTCCAACTACCCTGAATTATTATTACATCCTTCTGTCCCTCAACAGTATTAACCCTAGGCCCAGCCACCAAGGAATTGCCCATCCTGCTTTACAAATTTATTTGCTTTCTCCCATAAAAACCTGCCTAAAATTTGAGATCTGGAGAGACTCTTATAGCTTCCTCATCCGTGAGACCATCTTTTTCGGGGTGTATTTTTGTTCCAGAGCACCTATATTTAAATATTAAGCTTTATATGCCAGGAAAAGTAAACATTGTATCCACACTGGTCTTTTAAATCAATTTTCTGATTTACATGATATCAATTTTTCAAAATTAATTACAGGTGAAACTTGAAAAATTAGAATATCGTGCAAAAGTTCATTTATTTCAGTAATGCAATTTAAAAGGTGAATCTAATATATGAGATAGACTCATTACATGCAAAGCAAGATAGTTCAAGCCGTGATGTGTCATAATTGAGATGATTATGGCTTACAGCTCATGAAAACCCCAAATCCACAATCTCAGAAAATTAGAATATTGTGAAAAGGTTCAATATTCTAGGCTTAAAGTGCCCCACTCTAATCAGCTAATTAAGCCAGAACGCCTACAAAGGGTTCCTGAGCCTTTAAATGGTCTCTCAGTTTGGTTGAGTAGGAATCACAATCATGGGAAAGACTGCTGATCTGACAGTTGTGCAGAAAACCATGGTGCTCCATTCAAAATCCAAGAAAGAAATACTTAAGACTCCATTAATTAGAGAAAATATATCTTTTACTGGAAGTCAAGTGGTAGCAACAAAAGAATTCTAAATCTGAGAAAATGAGCGTGTAAATCACATATACAAAGTGATGGCAACATTCCCATCCCCAATAGTTCAATTGGCTCATCCAATTAAAAGTTGTGTATAGCATCATGTGGGCATCTCAGGTGGTGATGAGGCCTCTGTCCATTGACCTTGACATATTTTGATAAAGAGTTGTGGCTGCGCATAGCATAGGATAGAAGCCTAAGCAAGAAACTTCCCCCCGCAACTTATAAAGTTCTGTTTTGTAACACCTCCAGCTCGCTTCCCATAACCATGTCTCCCCTCCTCCCGCTACTTATGACAGCTGAAAGATGCAAAACAAAGGGAGAAAATCTTGAAGGCTGACATTCGGCCCTCCTGCAAAAGAGTCCTAAAAAAGATAAAAATAAAAGGTAATAGAAAATATACATGTAACACCATCATACTATTTTTTAGGGTTTATCAGGATATTTAGTACGAAATGCCTTGACAAGCTTAGGAGCTCTAACATCCTTCTCATTCACCCATTCAGACTGGGAAGGAGGAAAATGTTTCCAAACAACCAAATATTTAAGTCGATCCCTTTGTTTTCAAGAATGCAAAAAAATTTTAACTTCAAAATGTTGTTCACCTTCAATTA